TGGCTCACACTTGTAATCCTAACATTCGAAGACCGAGGCAGGAGAACCCCTTGAGCACAGGAGTTCAAGACCAGTCTGAACAAGAGCAAGACCCCATATCTACTAACAATAGTAAGATTAGCTGGGCATTGTGGTAGGCATCTGTAGTCTCAGATACTTGGGAGCCTGAGGCAGGAGGATCACTTGAACCAAGGAATTTGAGGTTGCTGTGAGTTAGGCTGACACCATGGCACTTCAGCCTGGGGTGTCGGAGTGAGACTGTCTCAAAAATATAAATTACAAAAGGAGAGGTAAAGGCTTGGTGCCTGTAGTTCAAGCGGCTAAGACACCAGCCACATACACCAGAGCTGGAGGGTTTGAATCCAGCCTGGGCCTGCCAAATAGCAATGACAACTACAACCAAAAAATAGCCAAGCATTGTGGCGGATGCCTGTAGTCTGAGCTACTTGGGAGGCTGAGGCAAGAGAATCGCTCAAGCCTAGAAGCTGGAAGCTGCTGTGAGCTGTGATGCCACAACACTCTACCCAGGGGCGATGGCTTGAGACTCTATCTCAAAAAAAAAAAGAAGTAAAATTGTTATTTGCAGATAATATGTTTATGCACACGGAAAAACCACTGGAACCTAATGAAAACAACTACTACAACCAGTAAGTGAATTAATTTCAAAGTTACAGGGTAAAAATAAAGTTAGAAAAAAAAAAATCAATGGCATATTCACATTCTAGCCATAAATACTAGAAAACAAATTTTTTAAAAAATGCTTTTAAAAGCAAAGAAACTAAGTGCCAAGAATCTAACAAAAAATATATAAGACTCTATACTGAAAAACTACAACTCTGCTAAGAGAAATAAAGAACTATATAAGGAAGTACACCATGTTCCAGGATTTTAGTGCTCAATATTGATAAGCTGCTCACTCTCCCAAATGACCTTCAGATTCAATATGATCTCAAACAAAATCCACTAAGAGTCAATTTGTAGAAATTGACAGCCTTATTTTAAAATTGTAAGCTAAAATATTCTTTAAGCAGAAGACAATGTTGGAGAATTTATACTACCCTATTTCAACACTTATTATAAAGCTTTAGTAATCAAGACCATGTGCCACTAGCATAACTTTAATCAATTAGATCACAGACCTACAACTGATTTTCAAAAAAGACCCCACACAAGTCAGTGAACAAAGAAAAGCATTTTCAGTCTTTTCTGCTGGGCACTGAACTGTGGTCTCTCCACCACTGTTAGACTTCCAGGAGGGACCAGGTTTCTCTGCCACAGCCTGTTACACTGGATCTATGAGCACTGGAAGATCCATAGGAAGAACACCAAGACACCATGGGAGCTGGGCAATGGGACCCTTAACTGGCCATAGAATTCTCTCTGGAGGAGTGGGTATGCCTGGATCCTGCTCAACAGAATTTGTACAGGTATGTGATGTTAGAGAACTATAGATATCTGGTCTCCCTGGGTCTTGCTGCCTCTAAGCCAGACATGATCTCCTGTTTGGGGCAAATGCAGGAGCCAAGGAAAGTAAAAAGGCATGAGACTGTAGTCAAACACCCAGTTTCCTGGTAATCTCAGCAGCCTCTTCCTATCCCTAAACCACTGCCTCCTTCAGGACATCCCCATTCTTTGGTGCTCTCTCCTGTCTCATAGGACAGCCACTCCTCAACTCAAAGCTTCTCCCCAAATAGCCAGTGGGATTGAAGCAGTACTCTGAACCCCATAAATGCATCAATGTACAAAGTTATGATTTAATAAAAAATAATTTAAAACAATTTCATGAACTTAAAGTGTAAATCATGAAGTACCTTTGTTTTACTCATTTGTAAAATGAGGTTAGAACAGACGGGAACTATGAAAAATTCTCTTCCAAATTCAGTGTTATGTGACAGGCTAACTCTTCTGAATCTTTAAGTTAGGATATAGGGGTAGCACTAGGATCTGAAGTCGAAGGTAATGCAGGTGTGAGAGAGAGCAGGTGAGGGAATACTAACACTGCCATCTGAGTTCAGAAACCTGG